GAATCGTTTGCAACTGCGCAATGAATTATACCTCTCGGATCATATCTTCGAACCTAATCTTCTTCGTCACTGACAGTTGCGTCTCTGTGCTAATGCTGTCTGGCACCTGAACTGATGTAGTACTTACGAAGTTCTACTTCGTAACTGACTGTCTGATAAAAGATGCCTTTCGACTTCTACTACAGTAGAGTATTAGATTTTTGAATTGTTTATCAAGTGTCTAACTTATTATGTGAAGTATTCATTTAACGTTAAGTATGAACTATGCTGAACTAAATCTCTTTCAGTCAAACAGTTGCATGAAATTTGTGGACGTTAACTTTTATTTCAGCATCAACCAAGCTACAAGCTACAACCAAGGTACAACATGATTAAGTGATTAAGTCTTGTGGTAGAAGGTCCAGTCCTGAATATTCAGACGAAGTTAACGTTAGCTGTAAAAGCATTTCTATGACAAAGTTGAACAAGAATGGAGAAAGTAGACATCTGTGAAGAACACCACTTGAAGTAATCAGTTCTGATCACAGTTCGCCATGAGCTCTAACTCGACCAGTAGTGTTCCAGCAGACAGCTTGCATAAGGTTAATGTACTTCTTTTGGTACACCTCTCAATGGAAGACACTGACATAGAAACTCATGAGTTAAACGCCGCCATAAAGTCGAGAGTTACAACTATTGTGAGACGTTTTAATGTCTGTTCTAGGACCTGACGTAGTGTATATATCTGGTCCATATCGCTACATTTAAGTCTAAAACCAGCCTTTTTTTTAGTTTGCACTTCACGAGCTCTCGTTCGGCGTCAAAGTATTATCAAGGCTAATAGTTTAGACACTGGTCAAAAATCGTTAGTATCTGCAAAATATTCGATATTGACAGGCGTACCTCGTGAGTCACTCAGTCAATAACAATATAGAACTTCGTACGTAAGTACAATCAGTTCAAGTTGCCATACCACATTAGCACAGACTGATTTCAGCTATTTCGAGAACACGACGAAATCTAGATTGGTTAGCAGGATCTATGTTTACTCTGGACCATGGGTTGACTTCATCGCTAATGAAATTAGCTCTTGGTTACCATTCACGTTTAGCTGATCCTTATTACTCACTGTTGACTAAATAATATTTCTAAAATTATACACAGTTCGAAAAAATATAGACAAACCAAACAGCTTCTGGAATATTTTGTTATCATTAGTGCTTTCTGAAGCTCACCAAGATCTAGTTCAAGCTACAAACAGTTTTGTTTATTTTGCGATTTAGGTTTTATTCTTGCCCTAAGTATTAATTCTCTTAGATTTTGTTTCTTGCTTTCCCCTTCAAATAGCTGTCTTAATGTCATCACTACTGGCACATCAAATCAAAATTTTGAGATAGTCAACAATATCTACACATTTGTTCCAAAAGATTGTGGTACGAATCACTGGTATTTAGAGGTTCCCGACATTACCTGGATGTAAAATGTGTGACGGGTCCAAACCTATGACCCAGTTGCTACTCACTTTCGTATACCTTTTAGAAAAAGTTGTTGACAAGCACAATACTTTATATGAATTTTCCCTTTGGTGTTATCTGTGCATATAACTAACATCCGTTCAAAATGTATTTTTCAGTATTTATATGCCAATGCAAGTCACGAAAATTGTTTCAAAACAGCGACCTAGGTATAGACAGGCACGCATTTTCATTCCACTACTTCTTCCAATGTTACTTGGCGTCGCATCATTACATCCAATCGCTACTGCGCTTACTCTTATCATATGTTTGGTCATATGTTTTAATGTCGTTATTGCAGTAGCTCCACCCACTTGTCGCTTGGAGAATACTTTTTTTGTCTATAAATCGTCTGATAGTTCTGACGGGTTTCTAAGGTATGTTTTGTAACGTTTATTCCCTTGAGCTGATATGATCATTTCATATGGGAGTTTTTTAGGTATCTATTTCAATACATATCTAGATGGGATTGTCTAGACCCCGAACTTTAATTGGTATCTCAGTGGGCTGAGTTGCTTAAATTGAACTGTCATCCGTAAAGACCTAACTAGTTCACCTATCAAATATGGCTGCTCGCTACTGCTGCGGGCTATTTATTTAAAATACAAATATTGGTGGTAGTAGGCACCAAAATATATATGCGTTCATTCAACTTTTTTTAACAACCAACCCCAATCAGGTTTTCTACACTTAATGCACTTCGTTGGTACACCTAACAGTGATATACACTTCCATAGAACCTCACGAGTCAAAAAAGTCCAGAGTTGCAAATATTGCGAAACGCCTGATCGTGTGTCTACGTCGTAGGACATGCTGAGGTGTGAATATCTATTCTGTATATCCACGTCCAGGTCGAAAACAAGCATGGTTTTCTTGGGTCTTCTCTTCACGAGCTATAGTTAGGTGTCGAGGTATCATTGAAGCCAATATCTTTGATACTATATTAGTGGTACTGATTCCTCGGTCATTGCCACAAGAGCACTTTTGGCCTTTCTTTTAGACTGGGGCAATCAGTGATTGAGACCAGTCGGATTGGATCGCATCCAAATCGCAGATTGTACTTAAGATCCTAGTCACTCTAACTGCTGAAACTGGACCACTGTGCTTAAAAAGCTCATTGGTAAGCCCGTCAGGGCCAGCTGTTCTCTGTCGCTTCAGATTTCCAGTATCTTTTTCAACTTCATTAAGATTCGGAGAACTTACATCAACTTTCCATTCAGGTTGACTGGAGATAGTGGGCAACCGAAGTGTGGCTGAAGGCCAGTTGAACTTCTCTCTAAGGTGCTCTGCCCATCGATCCAATCTGCTCGGTTGAGAATGAATAATAGTCCCATATGTTCCGAGATAGACTGTAGTAACCGATGGTTAGAGACCTTGAACGACATTGCTCAAAATCGTTGGCAATGGTGCAGGTGTATCCATTCTATGTGTTCTCTCGAATTCTAGTCTTCAACGTTCGTTATCACCGCTATATTTCTCTTTTTAAAATTATTTCACTGAATTATACTTGCTGAATAATATCTTCAAACCGTAATCTTCTGTATTACCACTAATAATTCTAGTACCTCTACTACTATGGGATTTGAATTGACAGTTGAGTCTCCGTGCTAATGTGGTATGGCAACTTGAACTGATGTACGTACGTACGAAGTTCTACGTTGTAGCTGACTAAGCTGACTGACTGTTCCGAGATAGTCTCATTAACAGTCGGATTTCTAATACCGATGTACTTGGTCAGTCTGAATAGTTGTCTACTGTGACCGGTCACCGCAGGGTTTTCTATCTCTGTTGCTTTCGCTACCCGCTACTGTTGGCGATCATATTGCATTGGCTTTTTGTCAGCGTTTTAGTTGCGTCCGTTCTTCGTCATGAGTTTCTGAGCATCTATAAGTTCATTAGATGCTACTGAAGCCCACTGCTTCTTCCTAACCTTTTGGCTTACCCTACTGGCAGATATCGCTGCTGTTTCCACAGCGTTTTGCATATCGTTCCGAGCTGCCTCAGAGTGAGCATCTTTTACATGGCTGCTTAACTGTTTTTCTAGTTGCTCTCGAAATACACTCTTGGTTTTGTGATCGATAAATGGAACTCCGAGAGGCTTTCTTGTTATGCCTTTCGTACATCCAGTAAGCCGCAGACAAATTCGAGCTCGTAGTAGAGCGTGATCTGAATCTAATCACGTGTTCCGGAACGAGATCCAGTCTTCTATCGAGCCTCTCGATCGGTGATTGACGACGATGTGATCTAGTTGGGTCGACTGTGTGAGGTCTCCATGTTAACAGATGTTCATCCCTATGTTTAAAGTTGGTATTCGCCAGGACTAGGCGTTTACCTGAGCATAGTTATAGCAAACGATCGCCATTACTATTCTTTGATCCGCAACACCATAAGATCCATCAAGGTGTCCTTCAGTTTCGCTCAATCTACCTACTTGAGCATTAAAGTCACCTGCTGCTCTAAGTACATCAGAGTGCTTGGCTTGGTGAACAAGGTCGTAGAGCTTTCCGTGAAATTCATCCTTTACCTTATCTGAGCTGCAATCAGTTTGCGCTTAGGCAGAGACATCGAAAAGGCAAGGCGAGTGTCCCTATCTCTCCGAGTTCTTACTGTCCCGTCTAGTTGGACAACGCATAAGCGACTATGTAATGTCATCCAGTCAAGGATAGCTAGTTCTGCTTTAGAGCTTAGTGTTATGCCTACACCAGCGAGGCCATGGGAAGCAGCAGTGAGGCTTCCAGATACACGGAGCGTAAGTCGCAACGGTTCTTTATGTTGACAAGATGAAGTCAAATGGATGACTGTACTCGGATCCTGTATGCGCGTTTCGGAGACGTAGTATACATAGATGGCCTGAGATTCTGGAGTCGTAGTTGAGGAAGCCTGTAGTTCTATTTAGCACAAAGTCCGAACAATTAAAGTTCCAACATGCAGTTTATAGCTGGCTTTCAGGAGACCTGAAATAACAAGTAGGTCGCGCGAGGTTTTGTCGGTATATGTGAAGAGAAGCAGACGTAAGTTCTTGCGGTATGTTGAGATGTGCCATTTTTAGGGCCGACTTTTTCTTACCCTTTCCTTCAGTTGTGCGGAGGCAGAATCACTGCAGATGCTGGTGTTCGGAGTTTATTGTCTTTTTGTCATATCCATCCATTGTTAGTAGTGCACCTTCGCCCTCATACTTGCTTCTTTTAGTCCAACCGTTCTCCAACCTTGCTGGCATGGTAGTACCTAAAAGAACATATATTCCATCCTTTATAGTTTGGTTGCAGTAATCGCGATAGGCCATTTCAACCACTACGTCTAGTTAGCAGCTACGGTCGTTAAAATTTGAAAACTTATTTCCCACCTATAGACACAAAATGCCAACATATTAGAGTCAACAGTTTGGTTTTCTATATCCTTCATACTGTGTGTCTTTCCCATCTGACCTGCATACTTAGTCTGTTTTGCAGTCATGTAGACAACCTGTACACGCCTTATCCAAAGATATCTCCAAAACTCTCTTCGAAGAATGTAGGGAAATAGAGCTTCTATGCCTAAACAGTAGTTACTCTCAGAAAACACTTGCCTACCTAAATATCATTTCACACTTCCTTATCTTCCCTTTTCTTTTTTATTTCCATCATGTGCGTATGCTTGTTGTCCAGTTCACAGCAGCTGTCTCCTGTTTAAACACAATTTACTGACTTGTCAAGATTTTGAATGCCTCCACTGAGTGCTATCCCTGATGCAGCGCTATTCGGCTGGATTACTACTAACAAATGACTATGCGCTGCTAAATTAAGGAGTTACACCGAGGTGAGAAGATATCAGTATGGTAAATAACAGTTTCTCGTTATCTCCATCTACGCTCTAACGTAATCCGAATGCAATAAGGGATTAGTTCACCCACCATTAGTTCAGCAGATGTTTCAATTCCAGCTGAACATTTTAATGCAAGAGAAAGCAATTCGACTGCAGCTTCCGTCGCGACGAAAAATACCAAGTGGAGTCAAGTTCAAGGCTAGCTGCAAACCCACGAAACAGCATAAATGGTCGATCACTAAATGCATTTGCGTTGTGCCATGAGGATGTCGGTTGAAGTCGCTTGTGGCTTCAGAAAACATAACGCTTATAGCCATTACAGATTCCTTAAAACTCGTTATTGTTTCCAAGCTGTGTTCTCTAGCCTGTAGATAACTGGATAATAACTACTGGACAGTATTATCGGTTGACGATCAATAACGCCACTAGGCCGGCATCCAACGGTATTAATGTCTAGCTGTGATCCATCTAGGGATTTTGCGCGACCTCACCCATTAGTTTTCACTTGTTACCACCTACACCCGACAGGGTTGAACTCCACTGGTCACGTCTTTAACCTTGTCGAGTGTAAGCAGTAAAACCGAAGACAAATGGGTGGAGTCGAGCAAAATCCCTAAATGGATCAGAGTTAGACATTAACACCGTTAGATGCCGGCCAAGTGGTCTAGAAGTTAGGCGTTCGCGTACAAGACTGAAGGTCTGGGGTTTAAACCCTGCGGGTTGCAGGAGTCGTGAATGCGCACTCGTGGTGAGTCCCATACCAAGGCAAAACGGCCGTCCAGTGCTTCCAGGTCTCTAATGGTGGTCTAACAATTATTCATTCATGGTTTAAAGGTAAAACTACCATCCCTATAACACCCTAAATGAAGATAATCACATTTGTCTTGAAGTCTTTTACACTTAGCTCAGTATTTTTTGTAACAAATGCTTGAAATAGCCGGTTATAGATTAACATTTATACGAAAAAGGGATATAATTTCAATGTGACTGCTAACTTGATGCAGCAAGGCTGGTTTCATGTATTATTCCATTTATTTACTGCGAAAAAGACTGATTAATATAATTGTCAAATTTATTTCGTATGGTCGTCATAAATACTTATGTTTATTCACAAACTGACGTTCTAGAACAATCAGGTCCCAGGAAAAAGAGATTAAAGAACTTAAAAAACAGTAGGTCGGAATCTAGTAACGGTGTATTTGAATGCACACTTACTTACTCCCGTTACATCCAATGTAGCATAGGTCGCCAACCAGTATACTCCAACCTACGCTATCATGGGCTTCCCTTTCCAGTTCTGTCCGATTATTGTTCATTCTTTTCATGTGCCTCCATTTCTCGGCGTAATTTGTTCCTTCATTTCCCTCTTTTCCTTTGACCTTAAAGGTTCCAAGTGAGGGCTTGTATTGTGACGCATTTGGGTGCTTTACGCAATTTGTGTCATTTTCACTTCTAGCGCTTCTTCCTGATTTCTTCTTACACTGTAATCTGATTTGTTCTAACCCTCCTGATATGTTGAAGCGATCGACTCCTTGATCTCCTTACAAATGTTCTCCATCAGTTTCCTTTCCACTGAGTAGATCGTGCAAGGCCTGGAACCTATTGTTGAGAGCTATCTTGAATTCGTTGAGCTTACCAGTATCCTGAGGAAAGGCCATATTGAAATTTTGTGATGCTTTCCGCCTCGTTCTCTAGTGCTTTTTAAATTCCAGTGTCATCTTGGCTACTACCAAGTGATGATCTGAGGCTATATCAGCTCCTCTCTTGATTCTCACGTCCTTCATGGTCCTTCTCAACTTTTATTGATACGGTATGGTCGATTTGGTTGTGAGTAGTGTGATCCGGTGAAATCCATGTGGCTTTGTGTATGCGTTTACGTTGGAATATTGTGCCGCCGATTACCAGTTTGTTCAAGGCATATAGGTTTGCAAACCTCTCACATTTTCGTCCCCTTTCAGTCCATGTTGTCACATGGTGTCTTCATATCCAGTGTTTTCTATTCCAACGTTGGCGTTTAGGTCTACCATCAGAATGGTCAAATCCACTGAGGAGCATCTCTTGACGATTGACTGCAGCCTCTCGTAGAATTGATCTTTAACGTCTTCATTGTAGTCGTTGGTAAGTGCATAGCATTGGATGACGTTCATTATAATGCCCTCTTTCTTTGTTTTGAAGGATGATGATCCTGGGTTTATGAGATTCCCATCTTATCAGTGCTTTTGATGCTTGTTTGGACAGCATCAATGAAACTCCTTGTGTGTGAGGCATTTTCTTCTTCATGACCGGAGTATAACAGCAGCTCTCCTGAAGCTAGTCTTAGTTTTCCTACCTATGTCCTATGCGTTTCGCTAATTCCAAGCACCTTCAGGTTGTATCTTTTCATTTCTGCAACGATTTGGAGTAGTCTTCCCATCTCCCACAATTTTAGGACATTTCCTGTACCTAAAAGAATGGTTGCTTTGGTTGTCAGAAGGAGCATCGGCCCCATTACTTCCGAATAAACTGGGCTTTCATCACGAGACATCATAAGTCTTCTGAATGAATACAGATAAATTCGAATTGACATAATACTTGACCTTTTAGCCAGTGGTAATTAGTAATGGTGTTTTGTATGACACAAATGACCATATTACATCCAGGTTTGTAGACATTTGAAGATAAATGGTGCTTAACTCCCTCAATAGAAATTTCTTTATGAGGGCATATAATACGTATATGAAACTAAAAATTTCAAATGAATATTCGTGTTTGATATCATTTGTCTAAATGTTTCAACATCACTATATTACTTCACTAATATTAGTGATTTATGTTGCATTACCGTTTTAATTGTTAATTTATTGACTAAAACATTGTCACTGCACAACGTATGTCCGCAGTTGTCCGTATGTATTGACGTAAAGGGAAAAATATTGTGGCGTTTTACTGTTAATTGTTGTTCACGTAAATGAAGCTGAAGAGGACGTCCACTGTGTCCTGTGTAGCGTTTTTCACAGTCTCAGCAATTTATTTTGTAGAAATCTGCATACTCAGATATATGACTTGCAGACTTCTGTGACCAGGAGCCGATGCTGAATGTCATAAGGTTCATAACGTAGACCAGCTTTTGTTTTCAACTTCTCCTGGCGCCCCTCTAGGGCCACAGCAATCATTAACAGACGAACAAGAGCAGCAAAGCCAAGGTGCAAAGGTGAATACAGAGAAGCAAGCAAACAAGTGAAGAGGAGCATCAGAACTGACAAACGTAAATATTTGGAAGATCTAGCAATGATGGCGGAAAAGGCTGCAAGGGAAGGATACGTGTTTTATGCTACAGCGAAGATGCTCGTTAGAAACTATCGTAAACCAGACTGACCGGTGAAAAGCAAGGTAGGTAGAATGATTACCAGCACTCAAGAACAGCGAAACAGATGGGGAGAGCACTTTAAGAAAATCTTGAATCGACCAACCCCAACGAACTCACTCAACATGGAAGCATCGCTCACGGATATCCCGATCAATGCTGGTCCGCCAACAATTGAGGAGGCCAGTATGGCCATCAGACAAATAAAGAGTGGCAAAAGAGCAGGGCCAGTCAACATACCGGCTGAGGCATTAGAAGCAGTAATTGCAAAGATACTCCGTGCTCTGTTCAGAATAATTTAGAAGAAAAAGCACCTTATCGAAATACCGAAAATTCGCGATCTCAGCAAGTGTGAGAACTACAGAGGCATCACTCTTCTCTCAGTGCCAGGTAAAGTCTTCAACAGTGTATTGTTAAACAATGAAGGATTTCTTAGACGTCCAACTTCGAGATCAGGCTTGATTTCGTAAGGATCGATCGTGTACCGACCAAATCGCAATACTACGGATCATTGTGGAATAATCAATCAAATGGAATTCACCAGTCCACATCAACTTCATTAACTACAAGAAAGCATTCGACAGAGTAGACAGGACAACACTATGGAGGCTTCTTTGAAAATACGGCGTGCCTGAGAAGATAGTAAACATCATACGGAATTCTTATGATGGACTGAGCTACAAAATCGTGCTTCGAGGACAGCTTACAAACTCGTTTGAAGTAAAGACCGGCGTAATGAAAGATTGCTTAATCTCACGCTTTCTGATAGACTGGATTATGAAGAAGTCAACATCTGGAGGGAAGCACAGTGGACAGCCAGGATGCAATAGAACGATCTGAACTTCGCAGATGATTTGACTTTTCTAATGCACACGCAACAAAAACTGCAAGAGAAGACGACTAGTGTAGCAGTAGCAGGTCTCAACATACATAAATGGTAAAGCAAGATTCTCCGATACAACATAACATGCACAAACGATATCACTCTTGGCGGAGATGCCTTGGAGGACGTAAAAACCTTTGCATGTCTGGGCAGCATCATTGACGAGCAAGGTGGTTCTGATGCAGATGTGAAGGCGCGGATCGGGAAAGGGCTGCATTTTTGCAGTTGAACAATATCTGTAACTCAAAACAACTACCAATCAACACCAAGGTCAGAATTTTCAACACAAATGTCAAGACAGTCCTACTGTATGGTGCGGAAACTTGGAGAACTACGAAAGTCATAATCCAGAAGTTATAGGTGCTTATAATAGTTATCTACGCAAGATACTCGGGATCCGTTTGCCAGACATCAACAGCAACAACCTAATATGGGAGAGAACAAACTAGCTTCTAAAAGAAGAAGAAATTAGGAAAAGGCACTGTAGGTGGATATGACACACATTGCAGTAATCGTACAATTGCATCAAAAGGTAGGCCCTCACCTGGAATCCTCAAAGCCAACGGAAAGGAAAAGAGGAAGACCAAGGAACACAGTACGCTGAGAAATGAAGGCAGACATGGGAAGAATGAATAACAGTTGGATAGAACTAGAAAGAAAGGCGCAAGACAGAGTAGGTTGGAGAACGCTGTCCAGTGGCCTATGCTCTTTTAAGGTAATAGGCCTAAGCGAGTCTGAAAACAATAAGTGCATAGTATTCGAACAACAGCTGCTAGAAACTGGTCATTTCCCATCAGTGGATCCTATACCAGTAGAGTAGTCAATACCCAGCCATGCAACTTGCAAGTTTTGGACAACTGCGTATATAATAGACAAAAATCAATATACGCTGTACCACATTCTTCAGTCAATAACCTCATCCAACTCTCTTATGATATTAGCTTTTTAATTCAAGGTATCTATATTTGGCAATTCTTTGTATCTGTGTAATTTAAATTTTGAGGATGTAGTTTGGTCGTGCATAAATAAACTTTCAAATGTTCCCATTGGCTGTATTTTATTTAACTGTAATGAAGGCTTCACTTAGAACGTATGTCTAGACGGAATAAGAACGCTTGTGGCGTGACCAAATGTGACATTTATTTGGAAACGATGTTTGAATATTAGAAATCTGTCAAGCTGATTAGTTCTCAAAACATAAAACCAAATATTGGATTCTAATTCAAGTCCATTTATCAGAGACTTATCTTGATTTTTTTGCAAAAAGTGATACCAGTTTAATCTACAAATGCTCAGTTATCGCTTCTTTGATATGGTATTTCACAATGCTCGTACCTGTAAATCTGGAGAATAAGTTGGTCTATAGCGAAATAATAATGTACAATATTGTCGTTGTGGTTTGTCTACATCTTGTGCAAATTGTACGAAATGTACGTGCACGCAATCTGACGCATACAAACCTGTCAAGTTAGTTTGCTTATATTTTTTATTCGCTGACTGCATGGTTGCCATTACTTTTTGGTAACTGTCATTGTCGAATAAGATGTATTTTCGCATGTAGGAGTTTGTTTAAGGCATATATCTAAGATCACCTAGGAGTCCCTGTAGCAATGACGATGCAAGTAATATAGAGTGCGATTCTGTTGCCATTTGCTTAAAAGTTGAGTTCTCTGGACACTGGATCTCTAATATTAAGTTCCAATGGGTATATGAGCAGATTACCTACATAATGTGGTTGTGAACCAGTCTTGTTATGCTGCTCAAATTTCGGTGTGGAATATTAGTGTAGTTTGTAAATGAGATACAATATTATTTATTGATTTAAGTCATGTGAAGATCGTGTAAATGTACGTAGTCCACACTGAGACCAGTACGCAAAATTACCTGTTGGTGTAAGACTACTCACCTGAATTAATCGCCTTCTAGGAAAGGTCCAAAACCGCAAGCCTCAAATCCTCGCTTTAATAAAGAGTCAGCGATACAACTCTTTTCAGAATTAGAATCTCATTGTAGAGTGGGTTGAGTTAGACATAAAGTTGTGTAAATCCAAATACTAAGGGCTAATTCAGATATTACATACGTAAGAATTTAATCAGACTAAACCTTGACAAGCTGTGTACACGTCATCCATAGATCAGTATATTATCAAAATTTTAGAATTATTACGTTGGCTGTAGTTATGTGTATCCACACTTGGGTTGACATACTCTAAATTTCGACCTTTATCCTTCTCATTTTTCAATGCGAAATGTCCTTTATTTATTATAAAAGGTTCCTGTTTGGTCAAATATTTGTTATTAGATTCTCAATATCTTGAAAATAAACCCGAGAAAAATGGAAGTAGACTAACTATATTTGGGTTATGGAAACACACTGTATGTTTATTTCGTGATACCGATGTGAGTTGTCTTCTTTTACCTATTGACGTAAATCAAAAGTTGTCATATAACTTTCTCTGACACAGTTTTTATTCAATATTATTCCATAAATAGTTTAATGATGGACGTCAAAATTGTCATTGCAACATACAAGTCGCCGTAGGTAGGTTTTTAAAAAACGCGTATATCGAATCATCTATGCGTCCACAGTGAAATATTTAACAAGTCATCCGGCCCGGGGTAATCGTCAGACTTTAGCATCATTTCACTTCAGCCACACTGCAAAACCATTTCAATTTAATTTATATAGTATGCTCGTATATCTATGCTTACGAGGAAAATGATCGGGTTAGATTATTAGGCGCTAGCTGTCACGTAGAAATTAAGGATTTTCAACCCTCTCGTCACTACTATTACTACCTTCATCTATAAACGTAATAAGTGTTAACAAGACATGATGTCAAGAATTTCAGCTACTTGATATTATCAAAAAAATCCTGTAATTTCACGTTGCAGAAATTTTACTGATTGCTGAATCCCGCGTTCTGAACTCCAGAGAGATTTTGCTGTCCAAGTTATGCCGTTTCTTAACTTCGATTTCGCCTTAATCTGCAAGTGTCATTTTTTCTGTGTGCATCTTGATTCTATGTTCGAACACAAACATTTGTGATATCAGTGTTACAAGAATGGTATAGCCCTTTTAATATCACTTCGATGTATAAGACTGTTGAATTGACTAAATGTTCCCTATATCAGAACGTACATACATACATACTTTGTTTGCTTATGCACAAACTATGTTAGAGGCGTGTTCATTATCCTAAATCTAACAGACTGCTGCGTTACGTAAATCGAAGTTACCACATCGCGCATAGCCTTAAAAACCATATTTTGTGGAGAAGCGTGTTTGCGAAAATGAGTTATTCATCTTCGTGCCTTTAAATTGGCCTGAAATTAGTCAAAAAGACTCATGATTTCAACATAATTTGGTACATCTTGCTACTAAAACGGGAACTTTCTAAAACAAACTCTCGAAACCCGTACACTTTCGTGTAAATAGAATTATGCACTAAATTTACTTAATGCAGTCTTTTTGTTTTTATGATTTATGTATTTCAAGAGGCAAAACTTTGAAGGAGATTGGCATTTTTCCTGGATGAATATATTTGTCGGCAATTCTAATCGAACTTGGTCCATCATTCTATTGACTATATGTGTTGCGCTTACTTTCTACTCCACTAATTTAGCCCTCACATCTGTATGCACTCCAAAAATATATTACGATTGGTTTTTACTTCCACATGATTGCACCTTCATTTATGATGTTTATAGGTAGGTTGTATAAGAAATAAGCTAACATTGTTTTCTGTGTGAACAGTTTTTAAAATAGTCAGTCAGTCAAATGCAACGTAGAACTTTGTACATAAGTACATCACTTCATGTTGCCATACCACATCAACACAGAGAAGTAATCGTCAATTCAAATCCAATAGTAGAAGAGGTAGTAAGGGAATTAGAAATAATCGGAGAGGTTAGGATTAGAAGATACTATTCAAGAAGTATGATTCAGTGAGATAAGTTTAGAGAGTCGAAACTAGAGGTGTTGAAGAATCCAAAAGATTAGCATTTGAGAGAACACAGAGAATAAATGCACCGGCGCCATTGCGAACGATTTTGAGCCATGTCATTCAAGGTCTCTAACCATCGATTATTATCATCTCGGCGACCCCAACCAGGTAGTCGGCAATTACAGACATGGCTCAGTCCACTCGTCAATGACTTCATGGATTTCTGCCATGTTTTGGTTTGGCCGCCCCTAGCTTCTTCCAACCTATTCCTACATTACAAAACAGCTCGTCGAGGCAATCGTTGGTTAATCATATGCAACACATGTCCCAACCACCTCAACTGATGAAATTTCAGCAGTTCATCTATTGGTCGGCCATCCTTACCGAGCACCCGTTTCCTAACAACAGCATTGCTTACTCGGGTGAAGCGGTCTACACGTTCGACTACTTCACTCCCTATCACTAGTTCAGGTGCCGATGCAACCCAATCTTGAAGCAACGTTTTGCATTTCGAGGGGGGAAACCGCATCCCGAACATGCATTGTTGCTTAGGGTAGTCAGAAGACTCTGCATTTTGTCAGCATCTTCACCAAGTAGGACTATGTCATCGGCATATTCTAAGTCAATAAGCGAGCCACCTGGTGGAGGGTCTACTCCAGAAAATTCAGACGAGGATAAGGTAATTTCTAGGAGCATGTCTATGATAAAATTAAACAAGAATGGAGAGAGTGGACATCCCTGACGGACACCACTTGATGTAGAGAATTCCGGTGACAGTTCGCCATAAGCCCTCACTCGACCAGTGGTGTTCGAGTAAAATGCTTGTATGAGGTTAATGTACTTCTTTGGTACACCTTTCAATGACAGACACTGCCACAGAACCTTACGATCAACAGAGTCAAATGCCGCCTTAAGGTCTAGGAAAACAACCATTGTAGGACGCCTAAATGTGTGTCTATGTTCCAGGACCTGTCGTAGTGTGAAGACGTGGTCTATACAGCCACGTCCAGGTCGAAAACCAGACTGGTTTTCTCGAGTCTGCTCTTCACGAGCTTTCGTTAAGCGTCAAAGTATTATTGAGGCCAGTAATTTAGATACTATATTAGTTAGACTTATTCCCCTGTGATTGTCACAAGAAGACTTTTGTCCTTTCTTATAGATTGGGACAATCGAGGATTGAAACCAGTCGGATGGGATTGCGTTCAGTTCCCAGATTCTACCTAAGATCTCAGTCAACCTAGCTGCTAAAACTGGACCACCATCCTTAAATATCTGAGGGGTCAGTCTATCAGGACCTGCAGCTCGTCCTCGTTTCAGATTTCCTAACGCTTTCTCAACGTCATTAAGACTAGGGCGACTTAGGTCGATTTGCCATTCAGGATGACTGGAGATCGTGAGTAACCGAAGAGTGGCTGAAGGCCAGTTGAACTGATCCCTAAAGTGTTCTGCCCATCGATCCAGTCTCCTGGATTGAGAATGGATAATAAGACCATCACTTACATTCGGGTTCTTAATACCAGTTTCTTTAATAAATCGGAAAAGTTGTCTACTGTTGCCGATCGCCGCTGCCTTTTCCATCGCTTTTGCTTTCGCCACCCACCACTGTTCGTGGTCGTTACGTAGACTTTTTATGAGTCTGCGCCTAAGCTGACTAGGCTCTTCATCATGCTCAGAGTCAGGTGGGATGCGTTTTCGAGCATCCATCAGTTCGGTGGATGCGACTGAAATCCACGGCTTCATCCTAGCCTCATGGTTTACCTTCCTAGCAGATATCACTGCTGTTTCCACAGCCTTCTTGATATGATTCCAACCTGCTTCAGGATGGGAATCACTTGCATGGCCGTCTAACTGTTTTTCTAGTTCCTCCTGAAATATATCTGTAGCTTCATTGTGATTAAGTAAAACCCTAAGAGGCTTCCTTATGGTGTCTTTCCTACGTCCAGCAAGCCTCAAACAAATACGTGTTCGCACTAGGGCATGATCTGAATCTAAACATGCGCACCAGAACGAGCGACAGTCCTCTATCGAACCCCTCCATCGGTGGCTAATGGCGATATGATCTAGTTGAGTCCAACGTTGAGACGACTTCGGGGGTCGCCAGGTCAAGAGATGTTTTTCCTTAAAATTAGTGTTTGCTAGAAATAGTTGGTTATCTGAGCATAGTTGCAACAGACGGTCGCCATTGTCTGTTCTCTCAGTCGCTACACCATAACATCCACCAAGATGTTTTTCCTTTTCACCTAGTCTACCTACTTGAGCATTAAAGTCACCAGCCATTATTACTATATCAGAGCGCCTAGCTTTTTGAAGGAGGTCCGAAAGCTTTCTGTAAAACTCATCTTTAACCTCGTCTGCACTGCAGTCAATGGGGGTATAGGCAGATATGACGAAGAGGCAACGGCGAGTGTCCCTATCCTTCCGAGTCCTTACTGTCCCGTTCAGTCGGACGGCGCACAAGCGACTATCTACATGGATCCAGTCAAGGAGAGACTGTTCTGCCCTACGACTCAATGCTATGCCTACGCCAGCAAGACCCCTGGAGGCAGCATCAGGGCTACCGGATACACGAAGAGTAAATCGAGCTGCTTCTTCGTTTTGTCAAGGTGAAATCAGGTTAATGACTTTACTAGGATCCTGTATGCGCGTTTCCGAGACGCAGCATACATCGATGGCACGAGTTTATAAAATAGAGTGTGTCTATATATACTAACTAGCATATATATATTTTTATTAAACAGTTTTGAGAGCTGTATTTTTTTAATGGATTGGAAGGGGTGGTTTGTCAGTTAATACACGATATATCTCCTAATTAATAAGGTTATAGCACTCATTAAACTTTGTAGCATACCCCTCTTCTTTATATATGCTAAGGCATTTCGTCTTTTATTGTTTCAGCAGGGCATGGGTGTTTGTTACAGGACTGTTTTGGTTATTGACGTCTATTATACCTATCAGTTTTCTTTTCCACGAGCTTGCTGTTTATGTCCAGCGCCGTTCAAGAAACTAGTGGAATGGTTTAACCGTTAAATTAACTACCTTCTTACGGTTCACATAATTTGTGTCCATTTCGAATTATTACCCAAAGTTTTGTAACTTCAATTCTGTGATATCGTGCTTTTTTTTATATTTTCCATAGTGAGCACTACATACATTCACTTAGTGGATCATATATGTGAGAAATATGAGACTAGAAATACGCTTTTTGAGTTTCACGTTCCGGTGGCTAAAGTGTTGAAAATGTTTGTTAGTCGAATATTTAATTAGCGATTAATTCAGCCCTGCTTCGATAAACAGTATTAATAAAGAAAGTGTTGCTACCCTCAAAGTTCTTGAATCTTCGAAATATTGTACACTCATCCTATAACTTATCAATGAAGTTTATTGGAAAAACGTTTTAAGAGGCATATGATAATTAAAATTGACCCAATATCTGTTGTCTTCAGATATCTCGTGAGAAACTTTGCGGTTATTGATTAGTTCTCAAATCTTTTTAGCCCTTCTGTCAAGAGTGAGGAAAACAAAACTGACTAAAATACAAACGCACGTGGAATCTAACGATACTGGTGCGGCGCCGCATCCATTTATGGAAACGATCATCTGATAAAATGCAAACTTGAACTGCGATAAGTTCCAGATTCTTTACGTGCTAAATGCGGTAGTAAGTTCGAATACACTGCACGAAGGAAAAGGGATAATCAACCTTATTTCCTTCGACCTGATTGGTTGAATAGTTCACTGTCTACATCTGTTTTCTTACATTCTCACTAAAAGCGCTTTTGTCCAAAACCACCAGATCGGTTCTTTATTACTAATTGCTTTTCCCCAGAAATCTACAATTGCAGCTTGATGAATAACACTGACGATCTGTTGTCTCACACTTTTCCGAAGTCAAAGCCATATAACAGCTGTGAATAACTGTATAACAGGCCATAACAGTAACTTCATCAGGACAATACTGATAGTTTCACTTTACAATAGGTAAATTTCATGAAACTCGAACTTGGAAATCAAACAACAATTATAACAATGCCCCTGAGAATACAAAAAGATTACTTGCAGGAAGAAATAGTTACCGAACCTTCGTGTGGCGAATCATACGAAACTTGGCCAATTTAGCGCATCGAGACTAAGTTGCAGATAATTTTCCTTCGGTGGTTAATAGGACTTAGAATTTTTTCCTAAGACAAGCCATAGTGTTGATACAGCATCATACAAATAGTGCTTTATTAAATACTTATTTTTCATAGCTTGATTTAGCTTCAGTAGTGGTACGGGTAAGCGCAATATAGTATGCATTCGTTGGACCTTCCTGAGTATCATGGAAACCCAAAGGTCCAAGTTCACAATCAGCACACGTTAGGTAACGAAATGTTCTTACGCTGTTTGTAAATCCAACATTTTCAAATGCGTAAATATCGTTAACACACCAAAATTCTTCAGTTAGTTCTGTAGGAAATTCTTTGGGAGAATTGGATAGTTCCGATTTCTTAGTGAGCACTGGCAAATTGTGCTAAAATGAACAGAAAAGAATTTTTTAAACCAGTCTGCCTCAAGAGTAGACATCATATATTTTGTTGTTGGACGTGAAGTGAATATCAAGTTGGGATTTCAAAACATAACGATTCTCCGAAATACTCTTTTTGTTGTTAGAAACTCGTCCTTCTTAAATACCGTTAACACCAACGGCAAGACAGCCACTGACTCCTTATGCTGTCAATCTTGTAAAGTGGTAAGTAAGTCTGGTTATTGACTGTCAGTAATCTGGGGTTAAAGGTTCATGATCTTTATGTATTCTGACGAGCCCGATTTTAGAAAATTATAGAATCTTTACGATATCAGAGTAATTATGACAAATTCCTACTTAATGATAACAACTGAGATAATTTCTTGACGCTGACCAGTTTTTAACATAAAACGAATAAGAAACACCTAAATGTACAAAAATTAGTTGAGATTGTAAATAAGATGTGTATTCCATAGGTTCAGGTTTGCCTTCATTTTGATAACAACCACTACTGCACGTTGAAAAACAACGTGCAGCATCTTGTGACAGTGCGAGTTAGTGTTAAATTGAATGAGGAAGTCAATTGACAATACATTTTATGCAGTGTTCGAGAAAGACTACACACCTGAACTGCTTGTGTGTACCCGAATGTCAGTTCTAAAATATAATAGAAACGTATTCAGTCCCCCTTGTTTTTAAGTATTAAAGAAAGTGATAGCACGATTCGCAGGAAAAGTTAACTAAAATCATACAGACTGGACAACTCCTAAATTACAGGAAACCTTTGCTACATAAAGTAAAAATATGCTTTCTTATGAAGACCATGATGTAACTAAGTGCAGACGGAAGTTTTGAATGATTATTGAGTGGGGGTTCACTTAGTTTAGTCCGGAATAATGCACACCTGAAAACGATGTTGCAACGGTTGAGGTTACAGCTAAAATCATTTTTAATTACTATGAAATATGCATTTGTGATTGATAAGGGAGATTTATCAGAACGACAGAGGAATAGACAAGTATCCCGTTCGACAAATAAACATTGAAGAATGTTAATGTAAACAATTGATAAGTTACTTAAATAACTGATGATGAACACATTTAAGTTGTTTCTTCGACAATCACAAAGGGATCAGTTTGATTTATATATTGTCTGAGGCAGCTCGGACTGATATCAAAAAGAGTGGAAACAGCAGTAGTATCTGTTAGTTAGGTAAATTGTAGGCAAGCACAATTAGATGCACAAATGCGGTTGTTGGAGACTCTGACTCAATAGCTCAACATCCAATGCTCGAGTCCACATGATATTTCAAATACGTCTTGTGAAGCAGTTGCTAGCAGCATACCAGAATTCATCTATGACCCCAAAAGTGAGAATACTTTTCTCACGTTGTTCAAACGTTGGAAAGCAACGAACATGCTCGTAATGCAGACCATATATATTACCAAAGTTACCTCGAGAGCTCATTTTCGAGACGGTAATTTAGCCGTCGGAGATATTCGGTGAATCATTTTCATTGTTTAGTATTCGATATCAGTATCTAAATCTGGTGAAACACCAAGATGATGAATATGCAGTCCTTGCAGATATCGTCAACAGAGAATGCGAACGGTTAAAGTTACGCTTGTTGATAGAAGACCAATTTTAATGCTTATTATTCATCAAAGCTCTCCAGTCACCGCAAGACGCTGAGATCAGGACTAGACTTTTACCTCGACTGGACCAAGACACGAACGTCAAACTCAGAACATTGACAGATGAGTGTAAACGACTACAAAGTATCAGACAGGACATGTTGATTGAACATGTGAATCTTAATTTAACCGGCTGTAGTGTCAGTGCTGTTACTAAGTTAAAATTTCAGAGGCCGATAACAACTCGTAACAAGGCAACGACGCCGTGGTAGTTATGTGAAGATTGGCATTATGTACGATCCTCTCCATTTAAGAAACATGTCAGATGTGCAACAAACGTGGACATAAAGAAGGCCATCGTCTATCGAATCGTACGTTTCAGCACAGGAAGAAGCATAAACGTACTCGACATGTGAAATCAGCCGAATCTAAATCTCTTTCTCTGGTAGCTCCTTTTCAAACAAACTATGACGTTCGGAGAAAGTATGTTACTATCCACATGAACGGCACATCAGCTTGTTTTCAAATCAACACGGCATCAGATATCACCTTAGTGTCTAGAGGAACGCGATTCCAAAGCGTAAACCCGTCCAACTGCTCGTAATCGCTGATTGTTCCAAATTATAATAAAGGACGGAAGCCCTCTTGTGACAATCACAGAGGAGTCGGTTTATCTAATATATCTACAATACTGGCCTCAACAATACTCCGAAACCCAACTAGAGCTGATGGAGAGGAGATTCGAGGGAACCAGAGGCTGACAAATCGCGGTCTTCTGACTGCTCCAAGCAATAACGCAGTCATGTTCAGGATGCAGTTTTCCCCCTCGAAATACAGAATGTTGCTTCCAAATTGGGTCGCATCGGCACCTGAACTAGTGATAGGGAGTGAAGTAGTCGAACGTGTAGACCACTTCACGCATCTGGGGAGTCTCATAAGTGCCGATGGCCTAGTGACTGACGAAATCTCAGCACGAATAGAGAAGGCTCAATCGGCTTTTGCCAAACTGCGTCACTTATGGCGTAGTCGAAATATCCATTTAGTAACGAAAGGACGAGTGTACTGTGCAGCATTTCCCTCCATCCTACTATATGGATGGGGAACATGGACAGTAAGAGTTGAGAATATTCTTAGGTCATTAGCATTCGATTATTGATGTCTTCGAATCATCGCTCATGTATCCTAGGATAACCGAGTAAGCAATGCTGTCGTTAGGAAACGATTATTAGGTAGGGATGACAAATCAGTAGATGAAGTAGTAAATCTTCTTCGGTTGATGCGTTTGGAACGTGTGTTATGTATGCCTACCCACCGACTGCCTCGACGAACGATGTCAGATGTAAGCTTAGGCTGGAAGAAAGCTGGGAGCGGCTAAACTGAAACATGGAAGAAATCCATGGAGTCACTGACAAACTGACTGAGTCATGTTTGTAAATTTAGACTACCTGGTTGTGGTTCTCGAAGCGATAGTAACTGATATTTAGGGACCTTGAACGACATTGCTCAAAAACTCCGCCTATAAACCGTACAGTGTTAATACCGGACCCAAGCCTAGATAAGTGAAAAGGGTTGAGACGTGGGTTGGCGACCCCATCCAAGAAAAAAATAACTAGCCAAAAGATCGCTAACAAGAAAAAATAATACGGACCATATGAACTCTTCTCTGGGAGTTAGAAGGTCTACATTTAGAAGAATTATGACGTCTCATGATGAAAGTCGAGTTCCTTGTGAGGCCGATGGCCCTTCTGACACCCAGAACACTTCCACGCGCATTTGTTTGCGGCTTGGTGCTCGTAGGACGATGATGCAGGGAAACCTCCTAGGGTTCTACTTAACGATATCAAAACCAAGAATGTACTACAGGAACAACTAAAAAAAACTTAAGCATCTGAGTAAGTGATGCCTACCCCAAAGCAGCTTAGAACGATATCGAAAACAGCAGTGATATCTGCTAGTAATGTAAACCATAAGATTAGGGATGAGCCGTGGATCTCAGTAGCATCTACCGAACTGATAGATGCTCGGGAACTCATTCCATCTGGCTCCGAACATGATGAGAAGCGTAGTGACCTTAAACGCAGGCTGATAAAAAGCCTACACAACGATCGCGATCAGTGATGGGCAGCGAAAGCATGGGAGATCGAAAAGGCAGCACCGATAGGTAACAGTGATAAATCTGCTGTATTTCCTTTCATGAGGATGTACTCGTAATTAAAACGGGCGTTAACTTTATCACTTTTATGAGTATGCTTACACACAGTAGTGTAACCTCGATTCCAAATTATGTGGAAAGAAATTAACCAAACAACTAATACTAAATAATAAGAAATATTAAAAGTGAATAGATGAATTCGAAAGAGTCTCAAGCTAGAAAACTGGTTTTCTAGTGTACTATCATAGACACACAAATATTTGTATAAATGGACACCAAAGTAGAAAAACACCGAATGATTACGAAAATGAGACAGTGAAGAGATAAAGTATTATCACGTAAATGAATAAATGGAAATAAGTGAACGAGAATAAAGTGTAATGTAAGTACATCAGCTTCAGAAAATTCAACCCCGGACAATTCTTTCAGTTGAATAATTCCCTCCCTTTTTTTATAAGGAACGTAGAGAAAAATATAGCATTATAACCAATGGTTTCTATTGTGAGTCGTGTATCACCACTATGCGATTATATATTGCCCAACTTCAGCATCACTGAGCTGGTGTCAAGGTTGAATATCAGCAAGCCTTTGGAAATAACGATGGTCGAATGTAGACTTCTAATATCCTGGATTTTGAGATGCATCTTGAGTATGCGGTTGTTGTTGTCTTACTGCGCGATGTTTCACAATCCATGCGATCCGCACTTAACCGGTCGGCAATCCGTGTTCATAGGTATGGTACGAGCATTTCATCTTCTATGTGTACTTTTAAAAGACTGATAGGACCCTAAACCTCCACTCACTCTTGGTAGTGAACAAATTGAAGCAGTCGTAAGGCTCATATAACTGGGTAGCTGTGTAAGTGCTGGTGGTGGTGTGAACGATGAGATCAATTCATGTATGGTGAAAGCCAGGGCGGCTAATGCCAATCTGCACCATCTTTGGCACCTCCGTGATGCTAGTCTGTTTGTGTGAAAGGTTAGGTTTAGAACGCATCGGTGGAGCAGTTTTGCTCACTGCTTGCGAAACCCGGTCCCTCCAAGTTGAAGATGTTAGCAATTTTTTTGAGTTCAACCATTGTTCTCTCTGAAGGATTGTAAATATTCAGTAGCAACACCATGTAGGTAACACAGATGTTTGGGTACAGCAACGATAATCCAACTGGTGTCACCATCTTTGGTGGCTCAGACATGCAATACGAATGCCGTCTCAGTTAATTCTACACCATGCATTATTTACCAATGCTGGACTGGTTGCAATAAATAGAAAGGTGGTTATGGTTTCGAGGTATCAAATAACGCTATACAGAAATGGCATCTGTTAATGCTTCACGACTCCCTGGTTGCGGACCTAGAAATGGTACAACTGCCGGCTGAACCAAAGTATGGTACAAATCCATGAAGTCACTGACAACTGGATTGAGTCATGTTGGTAGGTCTTGACTACCTGGTTGGGGACCGCGAGATGATAGTAATCGATGATTAGCGACCCTGAATGACACGGCTGAAAACCGCTTGTAGTGGCAGGTGCATTCATTCTTTGTGTTCTCTCAAATACTAACCTTCTGAATTCCTCATCACCATCTTTTTTTAAAGTTAATTTCACTAGATTCTACTTCTTGAATAATGCCTTCGAGCCCTAATCTCTCCGATCACTTCTACTACAAAGGGATTTGAAGTGACAATTGCACCTCTTTGCTAATGTGGTATTGCAACCTGAACTGATGTACGCACGTACGAAGTTCCGCTTTGTAACTGACTAAATGACTGATGGCAAAACTCAGCGGCTTGAGAGGTTATCAGATATCGCTCGGAATAGAAGCCAGTGGCGGTCCTGCCTTGTTTTCATTTTAATTTCGTCACATAAGTGAGAGGAACTTTCTAGACTGAAAGAGTTCTTTCTGGTTATATTTTCTTTGACTACAGTTTCTTTCACTAATAATTTCTCACTCTCATACACCAATTTCTATCCATCTTTGGTTTAAATGTAGTATTCCAGTCGGTTGATCGATAGTTCAACCCTAAGTAGTGTCTGTCAGTCAGTAACAACGTAGAACTTCGTAAGTACGTACATCAGTTCAGGTTGCCATACAGCATTAGCACAGAGAAGCAACTGTCAGTTCAAATACCATAGTGGTGGAGATAGTAAAACTATTAGCAGTGACGAAAAAGATTAGGGTTCGAAGATATGATCCGAGTTCTGCTATGTTTTTGGTTTCGCCGCCCATAGCTTTCTTTCAACCTACTCGTACACCACAAAACATAGCTCGTCGAGGCAGTCGGTGGTTGTCCATTCGTAACACGTTTGTCAACCACCTCAACTGATGAAGTTTTGATTGATCAATCCATCAACTGATCTGCCATACCTACCTAGTACTCGTCCGACTAAACGGGACAGTGAGGATTCGAAAGGATAGGGACACTCGTCGTTGCCTCGTCATATTAGCCTACGCCCCCACTGACTGCAGTCCAGATGATGTAAAGGATGAGTTTAACAGAAAGCTTTCGGACCTCCTCCAAAAAGTTAAGCGCTCTGATATAGTTATAATGGCCGGACTTCAATGCTCAAGTAGGTAGACTAAGTGAGTAGGAGAGACACCTTGGTGGATGTTATGGTGTCGCGGCTCAGAGAACAGACAATGGCGACCATCTGTTGCAAGTATGCTTAGATAACCAACTATTTCTAGCAAACATTAACTCTAGGCATACGGAAAAGCATCTGTTGACTTGGCGACCACCAAAGTTGTCTCAACGTTGGACGCAACTAGATCATATCGCCATCAGCCACCGATGGAGTGGTTCGATAGAGGACTGTCGCTCGTTCTGGGGCATATGTTTAGATTCAGATCATGCATTGGTCCGAGCGCGTATTTGTTTGAGGCTTACTTGATGATAATCAAGCTAAGAAAATATTTCAGGAGGAACTAGAAAAACTATTAGGCGACCATGCAGGTTGGAATCATATCAAGAAGGCTGTGAAAACAGCAATGGTATCTGCTAGCAACGTAAACCATAAGGTTAGCGAGAGGCGATGGATTCCAGTGGCATCCACCGAACTGATGGATGCTCGAAAACTCATCCCACCTGGCTTTGAACATGATGAAGAGCGAAGTCAGCTTAGGCGCAGGCTGATAAAAAGCCTACGTAACGACCGTGAACAGTGGTCGGTGGCGAAAGGGAGAGAGATGGAAAAGGCAGCGGCGATAGGCAACAACAGACAGTTGCACCGAATTATCAAGGAAAACGATATTAGGAACCCGAATGTGAGTGAGACTATTTCGGAAAAGGATGGTCTTATCATCCATTCTCAATCCAGGAGACTGAAATGATGGGCAGAACACTTAAGGGATCAGTTCAACTGGCCTCGAGCCACTCTTCGGTTACCCACGATCTCCAGTCATCCTGAATGGCAAATCGACGTAAGCCCTCAGAAACTTTATGAAGTTGAGAAAGCTACTGGAAATCTGAAGCAAGGGCAAGCTGCAGGTCCTGATAGACTGACCCCTCAGATATTTAAGGATGGTGGTCCAGTTTAGCAGCTAGGTTGACTGAGATCTTAGGTAGAATCTGGGAACTGGACCTTATACCATCCGACTGGTTTCAATCCACGATTGTCCCAATTTATAAGAAAGGACAAAAGTCCTCTTGTGACAATCACAGGGGAATAAGTTTAACTAATATAGTTTCTAAATTTTTAGCCTCGATTATACTTAGACTCCTTACTAGTGCTCGTGAAGAGCAGATTCGAGAAAACCAGTCTGGTTTACGACCTGGACGTGGTTGTATAGACCACATTTTCACACTACGACGGGTCCTTGAACACAGACACACATTTAGACGTCCTACAATTGTCGTGTTCTTGGACCTAAAAGCGGCATTCGACTCAGTGTATCGTGAGGTTCTGTGGCGGTATCTGTCATTGAAAGATGTACCAAAGAAGTACATTAACCCTATGCAAACTCTCTACTCGAACACCACTGGTCAAGTGCGAGCTTATGGCGAACTGTCACAGGAATTCTTTACTTCAAGTGGTGTCCGTCAGAGATGTCCACTCTCCATTCTTGTTTAATTTTATCATAGACATGCTCCTAGATATAACCTTATCCTTGTCTGGATTTTCAGGAGTAGACCCTCTACCAGGAGGCTCGCTTATCGACTTAGAATATGCAGACGACATAGTTCTATTCGGTGAAGACGCTGACAAAATGCAGAGTCTTCTGACTACCATAAGCAACAATGCGAGCGTGTTCGGGATGTGGTTTTCCCCGTCGAAATGCAAAGTGATGCTTCAGGATTGGGTTGCATCGGCACATGAACTAGTGATAGGGAGTGAAGTAGTCGAACGTGTAGACAACTTCACGTATCTGGGGAGTCTCATCAGTGTTGATGGCCTGGTGACTGACGAAATCTCAGCTCGGATACAGAAGGCTCGATTGGCTTTTGCCAACTTGCGTTACCTATGGCGTAGGCGAGATATCCGCTTGCTAACCATATGACGAGTGTACCGTGCAGCAGTTCGCTCCGTCCTACTATACGAATGCGAAACATAGCCGGTGAGAGAAGAGGACATTCGTAGGTTACTAGTATTCCATCATTGATGTCTCCGAAGTACTGCTCGTGTATCCTGGGACAACCGAGTAAGCAATGCTGTCGTTAGGAAACAAGTTCTAGGTAGGGAGGGAAAATCAATAGATGAAGCTTTGAAACGACATCAGTTGAGGTGGTTGGGACATGTGTTACGTATGCCTAACCACCGACTACCTCGTCGAGCTATATTTTTCGGTGTAGTAACAGGTTGGACGAAAGCTAAGGTGGCCAAACTAAAACTTGGCACAAATCCATGAAGTCACTGAAAAGTGGACTAAGTCATGTTGGTACATGTAGGCTACCTGGTTAGGGTCCGGAGACGAAAGTCACCGATGGTTAGAGACCTTGAACGACATGGCTCAGAATCATTTGCAATGGCGCAGGTGCATCCACTCTTGATGTGCTTTTTAATTCTAACCTTCTGAATTCCTCATAATCCCTATCTTTCTCCTTCTAAATTTATCTCACTGAATTATACTTATGCAATCATATCTTTGCTCTCTAATCTTCTCCATTACTACTAATAAATCTACTATCGCTATCACTCTTGGATTTGGATTGATGTGGTATGGCAACCTGAAATGATGTACTTATGTACGAAGTTCTGCGTTGTATCTGTCTGTACTGTTCAAAAAACCAAAGGAACAATTGTTTCGTACAAAACCCCGGAAACAAGGTACTGTCGTTCGAGTCCCTAACACAATACGAAGCTCCGATTTTTCTGAATATAAGGTGCTAGTCCGGAAATCACCAGCACTCCGACCACATTCTGAAAGGAAGAGTCGTGTAGGAGTTTGGATGTTACACTATTTAACTGTGCGGTTGAAATAACATCCTAGACACTAACGATATCTCAGAACAGACACAAGAAAGAAGTTTGAGATTTGTGAACCTAGGTTATATGTGTTCGGTCCATATTTTTTCCGTATTTTTAGAGATCTGTTGATTTTCTCTGCACTACCTTTGAGTGTTGCAACCTCATTTTTTTTTGCTTTTGCGACGTATTCTACACTGGTAAATCAAGTTAGTTATTTGCTACATAAATACTGAGCAGGGACGTTAAAGTGAGGTGGGACTATTTTTAAGTGCTTGGTAGGAAATTTTATAAATCTTACTTGTTTATTGGTTAGCTTTGCTGTATTCTTACGAAGGACAATACTGGAACATCGTGGACAAAGAATATTGAATTGATTGTATCCATTCTGAGTTAGTAGACCATTAGTACCAGTTGTATCACAAAATCTGACAAATCTCAGTGGAAGTAAAATATTTAACTTACTCTACAGACGACATTCAGTGAACTTTATTCAGGTAGAGGAAACTTCTTAGTATACTGCAATAAAAATTTCATAACAGGTTTTAGAGTTATTGCTTTGATTAGTTAGTGTGGATTCATACATATCAGAGTGATTTATATTGATCACGAAAGGTAAAATGATTTCAATTAACGTCTTTCAGACAAACAGTTTCGCATTTTTAGGTTGCATATATAATGAGTTCACTTAATCACGTTGTGGGCTTAATACGGCAAACATAACTGTAGCTTGGTTGGTGCTGAAATAAAAGTTAACGTCCACAAATTTCATGCAACTGTTCGACTGAAAGAGATTTAGTTCAGCATAGTTCATACTTAACGTTAAATGAATACTTCACATAATAAGTTAGACACTTGATAAACAATTCAAAAATCTAATACTCTACTGTAGTAGAAGTCGAAAGGCATCTTTTATCAGACAGTCAGTTACGAAGTAGAACTTCGTAAGTACGTACATCAGTTCAGGTTGCCATACAGCATTAGCACAGAGACGCAACTGTCAGTGACGAAGAAGATTAGGGTTCGAAGATATGATCCGAGAGGTATAATTCATTGCGCAGTTGCAAACGATTCTGAGACACGTCGTCCAAAGTCTCTGACCATCGGTTACTATCGTCTCACAGACCCCAACCAGGTAGCCTACATCTAACAACATGACTCAGTCCACTTGTCAGTGATTCCACGGATTTTTGCTGTTTTGGTTTGGCCGCCCATAGCTTTCTTTCGACCTACTCGTACACCACAAAACATGCGTGCGTGACCGGCCCCAAGCAGTTGTTCCTAGAACTCTGTGGTCACGCTCCCAGGTCGTTAAGACCAATACTAATTTACCTTCCTTTTCAGTTTCCTTAAGAAACACCCTTCCATGGTGTGGGCAGCTGGGAAGTGACATCCGCCCTCATACCCGTACCAGCACACGGGACCAAATTAGCCACAATCAAATCCTTCCACTTTTTGTCAATTACAAAAGATAAATTTACCTACAACGTATTCGCCGACTATGTCAATGTCAAGTGAGTAAATTACAAACTGGTAATAATATTTCACGATGAAACTAAATATTAGAGCACTTGACATTAGTGTTCCGTCCTACTTTGTGGCTCTGAAGCATGGCCACTAAGAGTAGATGATATTTGTATATTTCTAGTATTCAATCATAAGTGTCTTCGAAGCAATGCTCGTATATCTCGGGACAGCCGAGTAAGCAATGCTATAGTTAGGAAACGAGTACTAGGTACAGATGACAGATAAACTGTTGAAGTTTCAAAACTTCATCAGTTGAGGTGGTTGACAAACGTGTTACGAATGCCTAACCACCCACTGCTTCGACGAGCAATGTTTTGTGGTGTAGGTTTGGGCTGGAAGAAAATTAGGGGCGGCCAGATCAAAACACGGCAGAAATGCATGAAGTCACTGACAAGTGGACTGAGTCATCTTGATAGATGTAGACTACTCGGTTGGGGTCGATGAAACGATAGTAACCGATGGTCAGAGACCTTGGACGGCACTGCTCAAAATCGTTTGCAATGGTGATGGTGCATCCACTGTGTTCTCTGAAATTCTAACCCTCTGAATTCATCATCATCGCTATCTTGCTTTTTCTAAATTTATCTCACTGAATTGTTCTTCTTGAATAATATCTTCGAACCGTAATCTTCTTCATTGGCGCTAATAATTCTACTATCTCTATCACTATTGAATTTGAGTTGCCAATTGAGTCTCTGTGCTAATGTGGTACGGCAACCTGAACTTACGTATGTACGTACAAAGTTCTACGTTGTAACTGACTGACGTTCATTTGTGAGGAACCATGAGCTCAGTTTTCTCATTTGCAATCAATGCAATGCAATACGCTTTCTCGATGGCTGCTCCCAATATTTGCCCTTTAATTATGTTGCTTGATTTCCCTCTGAAGTGTAATGAAACAAACCCTTTCCCTTGCAACAGAATTAAAAAGGGTTCTGCTCCTAACCGACCTTTACACCGGTTTGTAAAGGTCAGAAGACTACAGTTTATAATCAGTTTTTCCGCCAGCAATTCTGGTCTTTTTCAATGCGTTGGCAGTACATATCCATAGAGTTTTGTCGAAAAGGCGCCTTACCAAGCCTTATTAGTGTCGTAGCGGACAAAAGCTACAGAAATATAGGTATTGCTCAGTCCTTGTTGGCCTCCTATAAACCGTTCACTTCACAATTCCTTACTATCTTCAGCTTAAAATCATGTCCAAAATGGACAAACAGTTATTTTTTTTCTTATTGATGCGATATTGATCTGCAAACTATTGAGTCTACCTAATAACCTAGCCATATAAACTGTAGTTTATAGAAATAGGAGGGGACAGGGATGAGTACTTGGCTTGCAGTGAGCGTTTTTAACAGGTAACAAAGACCAAACGTTTGATAAATATAAATAAAAATAGACAGACTGACTAACGTAAGAACACAAGTATTTAAGCATAACATGTTCCCTTCTTTGTCTCTAACTAACGTTCTGTCATGTTTATATAAATAATTGGCCATGGTTGACAATATTTCCATGTATGTGAAATACCTTAAAGTACATAAAATCGAGCATCCTAATGACTACAGGTAGAGTTACAAGCCAAATTAAACTGGGTAAACAAATAAGTGGGGCAGACGGGTGTGTTGTTATGTCTGACCATAATGAACAATATCGGAAAAGAGTTTAAAATTTTCTGCGTCCAAGCTACTAGTGAGTCACATTAGGTCATCGCCATATCATAAAACTATACAGAACAAGCTGCCAAGGGCTGTAGGACTTGATGCTCACCTAGTACAATTATCAAATGTTTCAGAGTGAAACCGGGTTTTTCCAACACTGTGAGACGTACACAAAAATATAAATCACCTGGCACTTTAAGACTATGAACACTCCACACTCGTTTTACAAACTGCACAACGAAACTCAAAAATCGAGGCTACAGTATTCCAATATCCAATATCTAATCCAGTATCTATTTCACGAGCTAGTATATTTGATTTATTTGCGCTCGATTCTTGTTCTTTCGGTACGATTCCAGGTGTTTGGTAGTGTCCAATGAATAGAGATCTAGCCACTCGACTGTCTAATTCTAGTCAGTCAGTTTGTATGTCTCGTGATTTGAATGAAAACCTTTGTTTCAGGGTAGTAGGGTTTCTGAATACCAGCAGCTATCACATTACCAGACCGGAGACACTTGGGTTGGTTGAGCTTTACACCGTTTTTCACTGCCCATTCCTTAATAGATGTTATGTCCTTTTGAAGTTCAGTCGAATCGTCTTCGTTTCTAATGAACCTTCAGATCTTCGCATCGTCTGCGTAGATCAATGCTGGTGAGTTAACTGAGCTTAACAAATCGTTGATAAATGTCAGGAAGAGAAGTGGACCTAAGATGGTCTCTTGTGAGACTCCCGATGTGGATATTCACCAACTCGCGAGCACTCTATTTACCTTGGTACGAAACTTTCTATTCTCAAGGTAGTTTCTGAGCCAAGATAGGAGTGGGTCAGTTAGCAACCTTTGCGATTAGGCGCGCGTGGGGTACCGTGTGGAAGGCTTTTGCAAAGTCCAGAAATACTACTTCAAACATCATTACGTTGATACGGTTCGATAGAAACTTATTAATCACAGGGTGCTTGTTGAGATAAGTCACATATTATCTGAAAATAGCGGTGTTCCTAACTCGGAACATTCTGTAACCAAGATGGGACCATGCGGTCCGCGAAAATTAATGGCTTATCCCAAGGTTATAAGCCGATTATTTAGACATGTTTACAGAGATTCTGTCATTAATGACAGGTTTGGTATCCACTTGAGCTCATTAGTAATCGATTCGTCATCGAAGCTGTTCTTCAATCGCCCATTAACCTCAAACCTGGCAAGTCGCCTGGTCCTGATGATCTATGTCCGCGATTGCTGTCCCCTGTTATTTTTTTCATAATTACTCACAATACTATTAGGCATGTCCCTTTCCTAGACTCAACTCCCTAGGAATGATAAGGATGCTATAATTAGCCGTAAGTTTAAGCATGGCAAGAAACAGCTCATATCTGGTCACCGACCAGTCGGTCTGACCAGCGTAGTAGTTATATCACTTGAAAAAATAGTTCGAACTAAGTTACTAGGTCACGTCAAATTATACAAACTGTTAGCTCCAAGTCAACATGGGTTTCGGAATAAGTATTCATGCTCGACCGAATTACCAGATGCGAGAGAGTATTGGATAGCAGCTCAAGTAATGTGTGGTCTGTGGATATAATACTCATAGATATCAGCGAGGCTTTTGATATGATTTCCCATTTAGGGCTTATGCATAAGTCAGTGAGTTTCGAAATAACAAGTGCAGTGTCTGAGTAGGTAAACAATTCCTTCGTGTCCAAAGACAGAAAATGAAAGGAAACGAGACACCATCGGAATAGAAATTGATTGAAAGTGGTGAATTGCAAGGAACCCTATAGATCTCCTTTTTCTACTTCTACATCAATGGACTACAGATCGTGCTAAATTCGTTCACAATACTATTAGCAGATGACGTTGAAATTCGGAGGATATTAAGTAGTGAGTCTGATTATTCTGACCTTCGAAGTCATCCGGATGAATCAGTTAGATGGTCGCATCCTATAGTATTGAACGCAAGCAGCTGGTGCATGTCTGAATAAAGATTTCATCAAGCTTGAAGGTATCAAGCATTTGGGAGCTGAATTGTTGACGGATCATTCCCGACTCCCTTCTAGTGAGCTCTCGAAATACCAAAACCTTTACTTACTTACTTACTTACGCCTGTTACCCCCAATGGAGCATAGGCCGCCCACCAGTTTTCTCCAACCAAAACCTTTACCGCTTATTTTATCTTAGAACGCGGTGTGATCCTATATGAGTAGTCCTTAGTTTGAATAACGATTCGGCTGTTGATATTTCTCAACTATTTGCTTCGCCTAGGACTAATCTTCTCCGAGGCCATTGCAAGAATGGCTTCAATCTATCCATGTTGGTGAGGCAGAACATTTTGTCTGTTTTGGGCTCATTTTAATGATGAGGCAGCTAGTCAGTGAAATTCAGGTTGTTCCCATTTGTTTGCTGCACCTTAGATTCCTGTTTTAATTTTATTTTTGGATCGCCATTCTACCAAGATAACTTGCAACAGGTTTACTCGAGCGCTTACAGTGTGGCTTAGAGATTGGCATTTGATGAGAGAAGAGACAATGAACGATATGATTATCAATGTTGTTCATAAGCTTTCTCTTTCTGTTGAACCTTCGACTTTAATATACAGAAATTCAACTTCTTACTTCAACTTCCCTCATATTATTCGGACTCTTTCCACTTTGATACACGTCACAACTCATTGTTTTGTATTGCTGTACTCTGTAAGTTGAAGACCTTATTACTACACTTTATTTTAATTTAGACAGCCAGTATGATTTCTAACTGCTGGCTTTCTATTACTTCGTCTGCTCCACTGTAAAAGGTTAAACAATGTTCTAATCATATATCCTACTACCTTGCTGCTCTTCTTTCCTTTCCTCTTCTGTTTCTTTTTAATACCTTATCAATAGTGAGCATGGAGCTATCATGGAGCTATTTTTAATACGTTTCACAGACCCTTATAAATTAGGCATTTAATAACCCTCCAGAGTATGAAATTTAATTACTGGCCATCAGCTTCGAGTGCCATTGAGTCGGCCAAGTTTTACAACCAAGGAGATATTTGGAATAAAGTTTCAGATTAGTCAGCATGAAAATAGTAGACTGAAGGTTGTTGCTAAGGTTAAGGTCGCTCCTCTCATCTCAGCATGTAGTTATGGTCCTTAAGAAATGATTCCCCTAGGTGCTCACCACAGCACATATATATCTCGCAAAACTGGAAGCAGACATCCTAGGGAGATGTGAATTGCTTGCAGACGCTGAAAAAAGCTTCCAGCTACACTAGGGGCAAACAAACCCAAATGATCTCTCTAAATCTGTTACGGGATTCGTCAGTACCAAACGCGTAGTGTCAGGATGTGCTCGCAGGATTTCCCAAGTTGATTAGATCGAACCCTCAGCCTCCAAAAGGCGGTCTGAGCGTAGGTCATGTGATCAAAACGTAAATCGTGTCAGCATCTGCAAGACACAGAAGACAACCACCCTGTTAGCTTAAAACCACTAAGGTTGAACTCAACTGCATGCTACAGCTGAGAATTACCCATCCCTTTGTTAGCCATTGCAAGGGTGGCAATCATGGCTTCGGACATTTCGACACGCGAAACGTGGCCTTTAGGCGTAGTTGAAAACTGTGAAACCGATAAAGACGGAGAGGTTAGGATGGTAACTGCTCGTATGAATAACGGATTAGTCAGAAGGGTCATACATAAGGTATGTTTCCTTGAAGGTTCGGATAAGTTCCTCGTTATATCCATGTGGGGTCCGGCAGGCGTACTGCCGTAAGTCCTACTGCATCGAAGGAGCTTTGCGCTGTGTGGAGGGATTGCGCGGGCTGGTGTGAGATCCATTTTTGAATGTGTTGTTTGTGAAAGTCCCTCCATGTATACATTTGTAATTTGTTCTTATTGATTCCTTCAGTTGCATACACAAAGTCACATGGATTTCACCGGACTACACTACTCAAAACCAAATCGACCATATCTGTATCACCAAAACGTTCAGAAGGACCATGGATGATGTGAGAACCAGGAGAGGAGCTGATATAGCCTCAGATCACCACTTGCTGATCGCCAAAATGAAACTGAAACTAAAGAAGCACTGGACAACGGGGCAGACAACATCACACAAGTTTAATAAGGTCTTTCTTCGGGATACCGTAGAACTCAACGAATCCGAGATAGCCCTCACCAATAGGTTCCAGGCCTTGCATGATATACTCAATGGAGAGGACGCAACATTGGAGAACAATTGGAAAGGGATTAAGGAGGCAATCACTTCAACATTTCACGAAGTTCTGGGTCACAAGAAGTACCATCACAAGGAATGGATCTCTGTTGATGCTCTAGTAAAAATCGAAGAAAGGATGAACGACAGGGCAGCAATCAATGTCAGCCGAACAAGAGCAGAGAAATTTAAAGCACAAGGTGAATACACAGAAGCCAACAGGGCAGTGAAGAAGAGCATCAGAACTGACAAACGAAAATATGTGGAAGATCTAGCAATGACGGCGGAAAAGGCTGCAAGAGACGGAAACTTGAGACAATTATACAAAACAACACAGAAGCTCGCCGAGAATTATCGTAAACCAGAACGACTAGTGAAAAACAGGGAGGGCAAAGTAATCAGCAACACTGAAGAACGGCGAAATAGGTAGGTAGAGCACTTTAAGGAACTCTTGAATCGACCAGCTTTACTGAATCCACCCAACATCGAAGCAGCATCCACGGACCGCCCAATTAATATTGGCGCACCTACGATTGAGGAGATCAGTATGGCCATCAGACAAATCAAGAGCGGCAAAGCACCAGGACCAGACAACATTCCAGCAGAGGCAATGAAAGCAGATGTAGAAGCAACTGCGAAAATATTTCCCAACCTCTTCAAGAAGATTTGGGATGAGGAACAAGTACCATCAGATTGTAAAGAAGGATACCTGATCAAAATACTAAAGAAAGGCGATCTCAGCAAGTGTGAGAACTACACAGGCATCACTCTTCTTTCAATACCAGGTAAAGTCTTCAACAGGGTATTGTTAAACAGAATGAAGGATTTCTTAGACGTCCAACTTCGAGATCAGGCTTGATTTCGTAAGGATCGATCGTGTACTGACCAAATTGCAACATTACGGATTGTTGTGGAACAGTCAATTGAATGGAACTCAACGCTCTACATCAACTTCATCGACTCCGAGAAAGCATTCGACAGAGTAGACAGGACAACACAATGAATATAAATGGATTTCTACCGTAGCAGTTCAAATGGTTTCCAATAAGTGCAATCTGAACGCGTATCTCCCGGTCCAATATTAAAAACACAACAATCCTAGGAGAAAACGGTCTATATTAATTAAAAGATGGAAATACAAAGCAATACCTGGAGTTGATGCACTTTCCAGGTCACAA